GGGGGGTGTCTTGGGGGGAGAGAGGTGGGAGGGGGCTATGACTTGAGATCTTCCTGTGCGTGTCTCTCCCAGCCCCCTTTGGATGTAGAATGCAAATCCTGCCCCTGGGCAAGGACAGGGGGCTTGATGGGTCTCACGGTCTTTGGGGAATGGGTATGTGGCTCTGTGCGTATTTGAGGATGGGGATTAGCAGGTCTCAGTGGGAGCAGGGGGTCTGCGTGGGAAGAGTTACAAGTTCCTAAGAGCCCCTGGCTGCTTCAGGAGCCTGAGTGGTTACACAGTTTGTCATCCCGTTTGACCTCTGCGTTTGCTTGTTGCCCTCATGGGCTTTCTCTTCACTGTACGCAATTCCCTCTCTCTCCCTTGGCTAAATAATTAAGTGAATCTAGAAATCCTTGAGGAGACACATCGTGAGTTGTTCTTTATTTTGACAAAGTGAGCCCTTGGTGTGTTTTTTGTCTGGGGGTAAATAACCTGTTTTCCTATCTTGACTATGCTTTTGCCTTGAGATAGCTCAGGTGTTATCATGAGATTAAAAACTCATACCTTTAAAAGCAGTGAAGACCAAGCTATTCCCTCCAGCTCTGGTTGACCCACAAACTAAGATCCTGAAGTAAAAACTACAGAGTCTTGTCTCCACTATTGTTTTCCAGGGAGTTAGCTGTCTTGATGTACACACATCATTTTATACTTAAGTTACTGTCCTATCTTCTGATTAGTCTGTTTTTCTTGTTTATAGCTCATTCAGGATTCCATGTTCCAGTGCAGTGAAACAGCAGGAGTTGTTATTGTTTAAAAATGGATGATATTTTGAAAATCATGGAAACTGATTTTTACAAAGCCTACTTTTAAAAAAGTCTTGTGACCACATCCCTTCAAAAGTAGCAGATTGGAATCCTGAATGAACAAAACATTTGAACAAAACATTTAAGTTACCAATGTCTCCATTCACATTTCTGTTTTTCCTTTCAGACAGATTGTATCCACATCTAAGTCTTTGCAGGGAGTTGCAGGGTCTCCCTGCTGTGCCATGGATTTCGTTCTGTGACCTTAGACAAGTTACTTATTCCATTTCTATGCTGTAGTGCAGGGCTACTCAACATGTGTCCCATTTGTTTGCGGCCCGCGGAGCAGTTTGGTTTTACACGAGGCTCAACACGCGGCATGCGGGTGGGATCATTTGGACATGGCCTCCACAATGGAGAGGCGTCTCCCAGGTGGGGTGACCATTCAAAAACGCAAGCGGAAAGGCTGGCTGGAACAGACGGGTACAAGGTGTCGGCGTTTCTAGCCCCCAAGGAGGAGGTCCCGGGAGTGCCGGGGCACTGTGGGCAGTGGTGGCTGCTTAGTGTTGTGGGTAGAGAGCTGCTGACCTGACTCACAGTGGCCACGTTTGGGTCTGGCGCTGCAGCTTGATTTTTGTATTCATGCCCGTCAGTGTGAAAGAAGCTATTTGCATATATATTTGCATATATATGCAACCACACTTAAGTTGCGGCCCTTGGCATGTGCTGTGAGTATTATTGTGGGCTCCCCCGCCGGGGCTTCCAAAGTTGAGTAGCCCTGCTGTAGTGGCACAACGATGGGGCTGCAGCTGCGCAGTTTTAACACTATAGTGTAAATGCTTCCTCCATTCAGGGATAGGGTTTTCCTGTCAATTTTAGTTAATCCACGTTTCTGAGAAGTAATGGCGATTGATAACAGAAACTTCACAGAATTCTTCCAAGCTATCTGTATTTACACTGGTGATTAGGTTGACGTAACTGTAGAGCTCAGGGCAGGAGATTTTTCACTGCTTTGAGTATGTCTACACTTGGTCAAGAAAACTTGATCAACAAAACTTTTTTTGTTCACCGGTGATTTTAACCCTCTTCTGAACAAAAGTTTTGCCGAGGCAAGTGAAAGTGTGAACACCTGCTTTGTTGACAGTGGTGCCCTGCTGTTGACAAAGCAAAACCCCTTCATTGGTGGTGGAAGTATTTTGCTGACAAAAGTGCACATTTGCACATGCAGACTTTGGCTATGTCTATACTGCCAAGTTTTGTTAATACATTTTATGTCGACAAAACAAAAATAGCCAAAAGGTGTTCGCACTTGCTCCCTCTGTCAACTGATCATGTCCACCCTGGGGGCCAGAGGTGACTGATGATGGGGATGGAGGGTGTGCCGGCCACTCTTCCTCCCCCACCTGGAAAAGGGCTGGGTTACCCCTCTTCTGCCCCAGGCTCCACCCCTACTCTTCTCCACTTGCTCCGCTCCTCCCTTCCTCCTCCCCCAGACAAGGTGGTCCAGGGGACTAGTGGGGCCACATGGTGTCAGTGGCAGGGTTCCATGCTGCCCTCCCCCTGCACTCACAGCAGCAGCGGGGAAGGTGCAGCAAGTGTGTGGGGCTGCTGGCTCCTGGTGCCGGCCCCGCTGAGTGTTGGTGGTGGGGGGACAGGAGCGGATCCCACTTACACAAGTAACATGTTAAACATAAGGTTTAACCGGTTAACTGACTTAACCAGGATTTTACATCCCTACTGGTTGAAGCCAGTTCTGTCGAACAACAAACTGTAGAGTCTACACTGGCTCCTTGTCAACAATAAAAGAAAGGGGAAGGGGGGAAAATAGTCTCTCATAGGAGTGGAAATTGTGTGTGTCAGAAACTGGGAGATTCTCCCAACAAAATTTGCATAGCAGCATGTATTCTTTCATGGTTTTGTCATGAAAAGGCAGTTTATGTCGACAAAACTTGATAGATACTTGCTTTGTAGCAAAATGGGCAAATGGGAGCTGTGAAGATTTTGCTGGGGGTTGGGACAGTGCATGAAGTTTCCTCCCTTTTCTCCCCCCCGGCGCGGAGAGGCACATGGCCTCAGCAGCTGGCCATTTTGAGCCACTTGGGGCTGTGGCAAGCAGGGAGCCTGCCTAGAGTCCCACCGGGCTGCTGGCCAGGAGCCGCCTAGTGAGTGCCACCCAGCCAGAACTTGTATCTGGCATTCAAGCTCCTCCTGTACCACAGTTCCCTGCCCCAGGTCACATCTCCCTCCCAAACCCTGCATCCCCTTCTGCATTCCTCCTCCAGGCTAGAAACCTCTTCGCCATCCATATGCCATTTCTGACCCTGTAGCCTCTGCTGCACCCCAATCTCCTGTTCCAGGTCATAACTCAAACCCTCTGCATCCCTCCTACACCCCTCTGCCAGGTCAGAATCCTCTTCTGTACCCATACCCCTTCCCAGACCCTGCACCCTAATCCCCTCCCTCAGGTCACAATCCCTTCCTTCACCCAAACTACCTCTGAGACCCCCAAGCCCTCTCCTTCTGCACCCAAATCCCTTACCCTGAGCTTCCTTCTGCACCCAATCTTCGTCCCAGACTCCACACTCCCTTCATAGAAAGTTGTAGCCCTTGAACGCTTTCTAAAATATTGGAATCCCCGCCCCATCAAAAATTATTGCCCACCCCTGCCTTAGGCTTTCTGGCTCAGATCCTCAAAGGTTCTCAATAGTACTCAAGCATTGAAATACCTTTGAGAAGCTGGGCCTCAGTTCCCCATCTATAAAATGGGGCTACTGCCTACCTCACCGGAGTGTAGAGGATAAATGCTTTAAAGATAGAGAAGTGTTCAGATACTGTGGGAGTGGTATGGCCCGATAAGTACCTACACTGACACTTATATTGTAATAGCTAGCTTGAACAGGAATGTGGTAAAAACCCACTCCTGTGACCAACATAGCTAGGGTCTCCCCTCCCCCTCCGTGTAGGCACAGCCAGGCTGAAAGAAGAGTACAACATCCATCTGGGGGTGGTACTTTTTCCACATAGGAAGAAAAGTCTTTTATGTCACTGGTAGGTTGCATCTACACTTGGGGACTGTGCCAATAGAGACTAGTATACACATAGCCTAAGATACTTATTTTGATCTCTAGTTCTGGAAGATTGCAGAAAAAATATTTCCAGGCACTTTTTAAAAGCCTGAACATATCTTCTTTAATGATTAAACAGTGCTTCCATTTTTAATAAAGTTCAGTGTTAAGGTGGGAGCTTGTGCATGATTATTTGCTTGAATTTTCATTGGTTCCCTCTTACCTGATTGGGAAATCTTGCTTTCCTACTTGCCTCAAGAAACCAATAATTGGAAGTTATAAATAATCTCTTGCAGTTCTGATTGCACTGGTCTTCAATATTTTTCTCCCTTTTTTTGGGCAGGTTATGCTTGAGAAAGTGCTGGGAATAACTACCCAAACCAGTAGCGGTTTAGCTTGTGACCCAAATACCGGGCAGATAGCATATCCTGCAGGGTAAGTGACTAAACGTGAAAATGTATAAGTTTATGATTTGTCTGTCTCAATGATTATAGCAGTATTTCCCAGTTGGTGCTCTGTGAAACCCTGGGGTTCTGTGAAGCTAAAGTAAGGGTTCCCCCGCCCTCTCTTAAAGAGACAGAGGCAGGACTCAGCATTTTTTTTTCGCTCGACAAATTTTACATTAGGGGTTCCTTGAAATTCTTTCAAGGTGAAAAGGGTTCCATGGCCAAAAAAACTGGGAAACACTGGATTATAGAAACCACTGCAACATACAGATGAATAAGTGGATATGAGACCTGGTTGTTTGGCCAAGTGTGTATATGCAGTAATATTATTTTGCTATAACTTTGAGGCCCCACCTTACAGCCCTTGGTCACTCAGCCTTTACACAAGCAGAGGCTAATGGGACAGCCTGCATAAGTAAAGACTACTCATGTGAGTAAAGATTGGATCCCATCCCATGATGCTACCACTGTAAGCATATTCAGAGTATCTACATGCATGTTTTAGCACCAAAATTCCATCTGACTGTGAGCCCTTAGTAATTTTTTTCCCTTTGGGGGGGCGGGCTTCTCTAAACCTTATCTGACCATAATTGTCAAGCAGCCAAGGACTGGTAATGGAAAGCTCGTGAACAACTACCACATCTAGAGCTGGCTAAAGTGTGTCTTAAGTTCACCTTCTCACTCAGGCATCCACAAGTCTGATCTCACCGCTGGATTAGACCTGTCAATTTCATGATAATGAAATAGCTTCAGCTATACTCTATTTATTTTCTCCGTATTGACCCCACCACTGTAAATATTGTTCCTGAATGCCCTACTTCCTGGAAGAGATGTAAGCGAGTAGCCAACTAGTCGAGTTGACTACTTGCTTCCCCCCACTCTTGTTGCCTCTGTATCAGAGGTAGCAAGGGGGGAGCGGGGAAACAAGCCAGATCTGGGGGGAGGGGACTTAAAAGGTGGTTCCCCCAGCACTGTCTTCGAAGTGCCACCTCTACCCCGCACCTCTGCGCTGCTGCCTCTATCGGAGACAGCAGTGGGAGAGGGGGGTAGGGAAGG